CTCTGTCGGACTTTAAATTTGGCCTTTGAAGTCAATAAAAGATGAAATATTTATTTTTGAGACATTTTTCGTGGCATTTTCTATGCTCTGAGGATGATCACATTGCCAAACCATTCTCTTTGTTTTTAGGTTCATCCCTCGGAGCAGTTGCCTTACTTTGCCCCCACATACTCTATGCTGTGACGCAGAGTTCATAAATAAATCACATGGCCAAATCTTTGACGTAACAGAACAAACCTCATCCTTTCAGACAGATCAAGCCTCATCTCCTGTCCTGGCTGTTCACTAAGCATACAGCTTCAGTGGTGGACTGTGTTTGTTGAAGTGGCTTTGGGAGGTGATGGGGCACCAACCGCCTCTGAACGGCATCTGCATAAAAGCAATAAAAAAAAAAGGTGTTCATTGTGGAAAAAAAACAAAAACTGATGTATTTCATTTTCCAGAGAGAACAGTTTGCATTAGGCAAGCCGTCCGTCAGAGAAAGCCATGCTGTATCTCACTCATGCATGTACCTTCTGTGTATATTTTGACTGAAGAAAGCCACGACCAAGCATGCCTTTCCTTTAAGGGTTGTGGTTAACCGTCAAACAAAGATAACTGTCAGAGACAGCGCTCCCTACAGGGTCCAAACCCAAACTGGGTAGTGGTGGGCATGTCACACCATCTATGTCACAAACAGCAGGAAGGATGCCGAGTCGTGCTTCTCCATCTACTCGCGTTCACCGTGGGAGGATGAGCATTTGCTGCTTCTTCTAGCCAAAACATAACATTTTTTTCCTCAACACTCAGACTACTTCGGTAGGGGAAAAAAAAGAAAAAAAACAAAAACAAAAACAAGTTTGGACTTTACTAGACCAGAACAGATTGAGATTTAAATGCATTCGAGTAAGTTTTCCTGATTTTGGTTTCAAAAATCATCTAAATTCTGCTGTGACGTTGACGCGTTGTCTTATGGAGCCGTCTTTGGTGCAAAGTAGAGAAACAAAGCCTAAAGATGATTTAAAAATGAATCAGTTTCCGACTGCCAGGATTTTGGACTGATCTGAACTGAAGCAAGCCCCATAGAGCGGCAGCGAGAGATGACGCGTACAATGGAGGTTGTTTCTGCAGGTTGACGGGCAGCCGCAGCAGCAGATGGGCCTGGACTTGACATCAGCAGGGACATCCTGACAGCAGAACACTGTCTGCTGTCTTCTGGGGCTGGCTCCTCACCCCAGCTGAATGGCAATCAGTAAAGCAGGGCGCTCTACTGAACATTCACACTGACAGCGGCTATCTGATTTGTCTCTTGCTGTGTTCGCCGGAGGAAAACATTGTAAATTGGACAATTTACATAGCTGTAAAGAGAGAAATGTCAGAATTTTTTGCCGTTTTATGACACGTGATTTGACATTGTTGCTGTCAATGGTTTTTGCGATTGTTTGAGGGTGTTATTGGGGTTTCATTTAATCTTATTCACACTAACTACTGGACATAGGTTACACTATCTGTCCATGCAAATTATATGCAATCAAACTGCAGTCCCTTGCAAAAAGACGTGTCGCTTTCAGGATCTCTCCCATGTCGCTGTGTTCTTGTCACACTTACCTGTTTCACATCATAAAAATTCAGAATAGGCAAATGCAAAAAAAAAAAGATATTCTCAAGTCATTCATTAATTAATCAAAATTAATCAATTAATTCATAATACATAACTGGGTGATCCTACAGTCAGCATCTTGAGCTGTACATACAGACACAAAGCAACAACGGAGGACACGGAAGCTATGTTGAACATTCTGCGAAGTCTGTCGTCGTTCTCAAAAACTCCAAATACTCTCAGTCACTGGTGTGAGACTTTACAAATCACCCACATGATGTACTTTTGATAACCCGTTTTCAGCGTCAGAAAATGAAGTCTCAGCAGCCGGTCCCTTTCTCAAAAACGCATCCATATTCCAAATGCTTTGGGAATATGTGAAGTTGTCACCAAAGGGTAAGTCTGAGGGGAGCTGGTGTTCGACGGGAGTGAATCCAAAGCTAATCCACAATACGAAGCAAAAGCGCTGTCCTTTGGAGTCAACTGCAAGATATGCAAAACAACCTCCGGATGAATTCAGGACCCCTCGCAGGGACAGACCTTGTGCACCAATGAATCTAATTATGGCCTGTACATTGGTGGTCTGACATGGACGAGCACTTACTCAGATCATTCCCTTTGTTGTGCATAATGTGTGAATCTTGTATGTAAATGTAACTCTCAGCACTTCCAAATACGGCTTCCATCTTGTCAGAGTGTCTGTAATGAGGGTAGGGAGGTGGTAGAAACAGACAAAAGAAGTCTGGAAGTCTGGGGGAGTTTGTTCTCTCGCATTTGGACGAAAACACGATTTTTTTTTTTTAACAGTTTTGTCAGGTTTGTAAACCGCATACACATAAATTCCTAGGCAAACATTCAAACGTGCCAATAGAGATTTAAGTAACACCGAATGTTAATCGAGCTGCTGGATGAAGGACTTCAGCTGCATTTTTTTTCCCGTGTTGCAGCCCCCCCCCCCCCAAAACTCTGTTTGCCCCCCTGTAGATATTCCGTTTCACGATTTGTCATGCTGCAGCAGCGCGAGGCTGAACGTTGGTGCCTGTGAGCCGAGCCTCTCAGAGGGCTGAGATAAAACCAAGCTGACGTGTGGGTTCAGCTGCGTCACACTGTCCTCTGACTGAAACAGTCTCAGGAAAAAAAAAAGAAAAAAAGAAAAAAAAAAGGAGAGCAAATGAAGGGAAGACGTGCTCCTCCAGTTGTGGCCTCCTTTTTTTTTTGTAGTTCCCTCCTCCCCCGCTTCTCCTGGCACACAGATGCTGCTGCTGGCTTTTCGCCTTGAACAGCTGCTTCAGACAAAGCTGTTATTACAGTTGTCGAATCCAACGCAGGTGTATGAAAACACGACTGAACTCTGGACTGAAAACTGGTTGATTTGGTACGTTTTAAGGAGTTCATCTTCAAACATCTCAACACTGAAGTTGAGTCTTCAGACAGATCGAAAGGCAGTTCTTCACACAAGAACTGTAATCTTTTTTTATATATATATAGATCCGGAAGACTCACGTTCGTCTCCCTGAGAATGCCGCTCCATCACTGGAGGAGAGAGATGAATCCATCTTCAGGCTTTCCTTACCATGCATGATCCATCCCCCCTCTTGCTCCCTCTCAACTGAGGAGCTCCTTGGTAAATAATTGAGGTACACCCACCCCCCCTCTGCGTTAGTGGAGCTTCTCAACTTGATGATTTTTCAGCTCGTGCAGCCAAAATTGGGTTCTATTTGTTGAGACTTTGAAAAAGTTTTAAAGGGACGTTATTGATTTGAAGGTTACATACTGGTTGGGTTTTATGTAAAGACAGTGCTGTGTGGTTGCAGACTTCTGCACAGATTTGTGGTTTTGTTTGTTGTTTTTGAGATCTCTCAGAGAAAACAATATAATCTTCAGCTTTCAAATGTACAAATTTTGTATCCAGACACTTGATTTAACAAACAGATTCCTTTGTTCTGCAGAGCTAATCTATATCTGAACAAAACATTCAAAGCGCCACTCCATTCATGACGTGAAAACGTGAGTCTTGATATGTCATCATTTTTTCAAGCTGCAGTGGAGGGAAACGGCATCCATCGGGAGGCGTTTGCTGACCCCTGCTGTCAGGAAGCATAATCTCACCTCTGTTCAAGTCTCTGTTCAAAACCTGAATCGTGAAAATTATAACTAAAGTTTGAAGGAAGAAAATAATAATAATAATAAAAAAAATTAAAAAAAATCCGCCTCTTTGTTTTCAGCTCATGCTTTTAGCTCTATTTCTGCATCACAAAGCAGACCGCTTCTGCCGAGTCCATGAAGATGCAAGAAGTCTGGCAGATAGGATGAACTGGCACGCAATAACTCTACATCAGGTTTTTTTTTTTTTTTTTTTTTTGGTTATAAACAAAGCAGATGCTGACATAATCAAAGTTATGATTCTAATTCCACATCCTGACCTGGAAAGGGATTCGTCAAAACATTGCAAACAACAAAGATGACACTGCAGACTGTAAAAGTGGAATGATGCGTCACTTACCTGACTCCCCATGTAACAAAAAAAGCATCAACTAATGTTCAGATTTTACTGCATCATTATTATTTTGTCCATGCAAATATGCTACTGAACGTAGTAGTGAGACCTTTCCTAATCCTGCCTCTACTTTCCAGGGATTTAGAAACTACTTTGTAAAACATTTCAGGAAGATTCATAATATTTACCAGGTTCTTCCTGGAATTTCCATGGAATTTACCAGGCACTTTCCTGGAGCCTTCATGAAAGTTTTAGGAAAGTTCCACCAAAGTATCTGGAGGGTTTGATGGAAGTAGTTGGTGACTTCCATGAAAGTTCTACAAATGTTTTGCGGTTCATAAAATGTCTCTGATAGTACCATGAAAATTCAATGAATGTTTCATTAAAGCACTTCAATAATTCTGGAAAAAAAAATAAAAAAATCAAACTTCAGGAAAGTACAGGCTGTAGTTTTAAATTATGTCAGAATTTTAGAAAGAAATGTGTCCAGTGACATCCTGCTAACTTCAGCTAATGAACAGAAAATAATTTTTAGTTCTTTTGGCCATGCGTTGCAGTGCTTGCTCGCCAACTTCTCTCAATCTTATGTTTTTGCATGAATAGTTCTGATATTTCCTAGCTGGAAAAAAAATGAACCTTCTGTAAAATAATACAACCACTTCCACTTTTTTTTTTAATATAAATAAAGCTTGAAACATAATTTGACATAAAAACCTCAAGAAAAACAGGAGCAGCATCCCATGTTCCACTCATTTACACCAATCAAAACTTTGATGTAAGCACTTAAAGGCAGAAAGTATCAAACAGTAAATGCCTGAGAATAAAAAAAATAATAATTTTCACTCTTGCTCCTCCCTAATGAAAAAATAAAACACGCATTCCACAATGCCAAAAATAAAAATCCTGGCCTTCTTACAAGTTAGCTTTTTTTTTTTTTTTTGCAACAACTCAACTAAGGCTTCATTTAGTGAAATCTTAAAACAAAGTTAAGTACATTCATGATGTTTTACCGTCTCTGCAATTCTTAACAGTCGATACAATCTTTTTTTTTTTATGTGCAATGCAGCATGCAACAGTGGCACTGGTAGAGATAAAAGGCTTTTCAACTTAAAAACAGGTCCAGTGATAAGAGTTTAAAATCAAATAAATAAAAAAAAAGTAGCATTTTCCCATCACCGTGTGCTCTTAATCCTCTTTCTGCACTGTTCTCTTTGCTACCGCAGCTATTTAACTGCCTGATGCATCAGGCTCAGTCATCTCCTGCTCTAAGCGATGGCCTGAGCTGAAAGCCTCCGGGTCAGGATTCTGCATCTCTGGGATGATCCCCACACTCTCTGTGGTGTCGTTGAGGGCAGCAGCATCCTCTGCATCCTCTCTGGGACTGCCGCTAAGATTTGCAACACTCTCTTGCAGTGCTTGATGAGTGCCTTCATCTTTTTCCTCCCTCTCTTGAGATAAAAGCTTTTGGTCAAACATGGAGTCATCTAGAAAGGATAATCATGTATGTAGTCAAACTGTTGAAAAAGTTTAGTGCATCAAGGAAAACTTCAATTTTCGTCCGTCTGTTGTTGAGAAAGACTAAGCATAAGTATTAATATCGGGATTCCTTACACTTAATGTAAATGTTACGTTTATTTTCTGTGCAAAAAATAGAAAATAATGCACCTATGTCGAAGGATTTAATGACTTGAGAGCTGGAAGCTGCGTAAGCTGAGTTTTTTCAACCAAGACTGCATAATAAACATGTAATTGTTCCGTCTAGTGGCACAATGTAATTGCAAGTGAAATGCTTACCAAAGCTACATTGGTCATGCATGTCATCTCCATAATTAGCAACCACTGAGCTGTGGCCTTCGTCGTTGGTGGAAACGGCTTCGGATGAATATGAGATTATGGCTCCAGGAGAGATGGAGGCATCTGAAAGCAGCACAATGCAAAAGCAAATCATTTGGTGTGAAAGTACAGAAAATTCAAAGCAGTTTAACTCAAAGCAGAAATGCAATATAGTCACTTTTGCAGTGTAGAAAGTGGATATGTAGATATGTAATATTGACACACATAAGCTATTGGCCACAACAGCAGTCGGATATCAATATTGGCCCAGACTGTCCTATCAGTTTATCTCTGGGAAAATTTTTTTACAGATTTGAATACTTTTTCTAGGGAAGGTAGCTACCAATGTCTGCAGACTCCTGCGGAAGTGAGATTTTGCTCAAATCGAGCATAACTCCTTCAGTTTCAGGTAAACCTGCTTCATTAGTTGGGCTATTTTCACTCAGTAGATGCACCTGAGGAGACAGAAACGCAGGCATGAAAAGTCACATCAAATGGAAAACGAAGCTATAACAGGTAAGAACAGCCTGTACCTCAGTCTGACCAGACGAAGTCTCCACTTCTCTGCTGCTTGTATCTGCTGGTTGCGGAGCATTTCTGTTCTGGACATTTGGGTGAACTGGGTGAGACGGGATTCTGTGCAGATAGCCGTAGCCAATCCCACAGCCCAAGCTGAAATACATTTAAAAAAATGGAAAGACGAGTCATACATACGTAAGAAACCCCAGCCATACTATATTCACATCTTTTAAAAATGTATATTTAGGTTACGTTTTACATTAACAAAACTATTTATCCTTACTGTAAGAGATAAGAACTAGCAGCAAACAGCAATGAAAAACCCTTTTTTTTTTTTTTTTTCTCTCCTTGGGCTGAGAAAGATTTCTTGGTGCCTCTCTGGTCTGTAATGTAACTCATTTTTAACTGACCAAATTTAGATCTGGACTCCAGCAGAGCTGCTCAAAAATGTTTACCATCAATGTTGCTGCTTGATCGCATTCGCAACTTGGGCTTTGGATCACAGATGGATGTTTAGCTGCAAGGTTTGGAGCTGCTGAAAGCTATGAATTTCAACATGCACGGCGCCCATATTTTATCACCTTTTTCTAATGTGAAGAGGGTAACGGACCTATAATGGATAAATGTATCAGTTTATGACGCAAAACATGACATATCTTGAATTTGTTTCCTCGCTAAGGTTTTCTTAGGCTAAGATTACCGAGATTATGCTACTGCCTTTTTTTTTATACTTATATATTTATGTTCAATAAATATGCATGTCAATGAGGCTTGTTTTTGTTTCAGTGGAATAATGAAATATGAATCTGACATACAGAAGAGTTCTGTTGGTCAGCAAACATCCTTAATTGATACAAATCTGGTTAATTTTATGATATCAATCAAAAAGCTAATCACCAACCTTCCCTCTCCTCCCCAGGCTCCATTAGGGGTCACTACAATCTCCCTGCACTCTTCGGTCTGCATGTTATAAACTAACAGCTTCAAAGGCTTCCCCTCGTTGGCTTCAATTAAGGAGAAGAAATCTTCAGACTGTAAAGGTACATGAAAAACAATTGTGCAACTTGAGCTTTTTCATTTATTTTTTTTTTAAGCTTTTCTGATGTTTTCAGAACAGATAAAAACCTACATCTTGCAACACTTGGTCAGCCCCGACAATAAAGTCGTCATGTGCGATAAGGCCAGCGAGTGCTGCAGGGGAATTCTCCTCCACGTCCTGAGAAGGGAAAAAAAAGAGATTCAACGGATCAAACCGTTTTAAGCAAAATGTTTGTGCCTTTGTGACGTTCACGGGACGGCCAGAGTTGAAAAGATGAATCTCGAAAACGAGGAGTAGCCCCGACTTACCAACACATGCCACACGTTCTCGTTGACTCCTTCAAAGCTGCAGAAGCGAACGCTGGCGCCCAGCAACCCCTGACCGCCCCACATGTTACTGGGTGTCACCTCCAGCTCCCTCACCCGCTGGGTTTTGGAGTTGTACACTTCAAGCCTGACTGCCTTCTCCACATTGGCCTTCAGCAGATCTCTCAGCAAGTCGCTCTCCTTATTCTGGGGGAAACAAAGGCACTACCTAAGTTATTGCTGAAGGTCAAAAGTTACAGAAAATCTGGACGCAATTTATATGCAACACGAATGTTACATTCCTCAATAAGTTATGAAGTTACTGGTGAATTAAGGGATGGACCTAAAACAGGCCAATTCTCAAAGAAAACCTGCTGGAAACGAAAATATTTAAGACTGAGTTGGAGGTTCCAGCCATTTGATAATACTAAAAACATTCAGAACTACAGTGTAATTTGTTTAGCTTAGCTTTAAAGTTAGCTCTAAGGATGATGTTGACTGATGGCCTCAATCTGATTTCAATGACTTTCAGCCATCTACAAAGAACAAGGCAGAAATTTTAGTCTATTTATGTGCAAGACTGGTAGATGAAGCTACTCAAAACTATATAACAACTATATAACACTGTGGTTTCACAATGAATTACTCCAGGGGGCTGTGTACAATCACCCACTTTTATTTCAAAACCATCTTCCTTCCACATCACACATTATGCAACACTTTCTCTGTCACACGTATTAAAACACACTGGAGTTTGTGGATAAACTGTATGGGTAGTTGGATGGATACTTTAAATCAGTTGGTCTCATTATTCAAATATCTTTTCCATGTTTATCCAGTACCAATGTAATTCTATCATTGTCCAGGCTTTGTAGAATGTTTCTGTTAATATAATATGACATTTACTCACAAGTCTGGTGTTCCCTATGGAGAGAATGAAGTCAAAGAAAGGCTCCAGTCCAGCTTTCAGAGCAGGCGAGTCTTCTTGAACCTGAAAGGTAAAACAACTCATCTGTCGTCCTCGTGTGTCTGTTTTAGGTATTGCATATTGTCAGAAAAAAGAAAGTCTTTGCTGAAAGTAATAAACACATAGCTGGCGTTTCTCGGGTGTTTGCCCGTTGGCTAAGTTGATTATTTATTTCAGGTCATTTTTCGGAAGTTGGCACAGAAAAAAACTGAAATTATATCAGGGCTAAATAACAGGTTTGGATTGGTGCCAAATGCCACCTCATCATCATGACAGTGTTGGGCGGCGGGTGCCAACAGCAAACTTAAAAAAAAAAAACACACATCTTCAGCTTTTTAAGATAAATACCACATAAATTTAAATCCAATTAAATATATTCAGAACGTTCTTAATGTTAAACTGAGCTGTAAACCCATTAGCAACTAAATTTGCCGTAATGACATATGTAACCTTGCACTACACGTTACATCAACGTACTCCGTGAACATGATAGCCACTGTTACTTCCACCGTCCGACAGGAGGGAGCTCTGCGGCAGCCCCATTGTCTTCAGCGGTTACAGTTCGTGTTAACTGTCAATGAGGTAGAGTTGTGATAGAGACCATTATAGGAAGGCATATAGTACACCAGGATACAGCTAGCTAACACTAGCATGAGAGGCAGTTTAACAGCAGGTGCAACACAGAGTCAGGCATAGCTAAAAAAGAAAGGATAGCAGATAAATCGAACTGGTCTCTCCTCGACTGCAGTGTGTACAAACATAGACATAGTGTGTGTCTACAAAGACAGGGGTAACATCTGTGCTTGATTAGCCGTGTCTTGAAAGGTTGCTAAGGAACGGACAACAGTAGTTTCATTCATTAAAATGG